ATCAGAGTTTAAACATCTACATGAGTTTTGGAGGTGGTCTTCCAAGTTAATCCTCTCTGCATTGTCATCACCTGGAATTTCCCTACTTCCAGCCAGCTCATGTGACTCCTGAGCAAGTGCCCTCTGGGGTCTCAGGGTAGCCCACACAAGAGCTGGCCTCTCTGTGCATCAAGTCATTGGAACCTGCAGCACATGCCCGGAGAGAACTGTGATCCTCTCTGTAGGCCAAGAAAAAGCAGTTCCTTCTATGAGAGGACTTAGAAAAATAGTTTGTGGACAAAGAAGTGAAAGGTGACTTCATGTTAATACAGGAAAAGAACTGAAATCTGCAAATGTAGTGTCTTGAAATGTTAACTAAAAACACATATTATGGGAAGATGCATGGATCTCAAAATTATTGCCTCCCCCAAATAAACATGTTTTGGTTTCATTTTCCTTTTTTTCTGTTTTAAGATTTATTCATATATGGGAAGGCAGAGCGAGAGAGAGAGAGATCTGCTGGTTTCTGATAGCTGCAATAGCCAGGTCTGGGATAGACTGAAGCCGGAGTCCAGGAACTCCCTTGCTATCTATTTGACAGTGGCCACAGTACTTAGGCCATCCTCTGCTGCTGCTGATAGAAAAAGGGGTCAGCATGATGGCTCTATTGGCTAATTCTCTACCTGTAAGTCCTAGAATCCTATATGGTGCCAGTTCAGCTCCCAGCTGTTCTACTTCCCAACCAGCTCCTTGTTTATGGACTGGGAAAGCAGTGGAGGGTGGTCCAAGTGTTTCTGACTCTGTGCCCACATGGGAGATACAAAAGCTCTAGGCTCTTGGCTTCAGATAGGATCAGCTCCAGCTGTTGCAGTTCCTCTCTCTCTCTCCTTCTTTCTGTAAATCTTCCTTTTAAAAAATTATACAAGAAATGTTATGGATGAACTCAGGTGTGGGAACAATCACAGATCCTCTGAGCTTATGGGAAAGAGAAAGAGAAACTGGAGAAGAGGCATTTGATGGGGAAAAAAGCCATATAACAAAATCAGCTAAAGATGAGGGCAATGGGGTAGCACTCAAGCATGGGATAGTATGCAGTTCAGTTTGTCTGAAGTGGAGGTAGGTTTTGGTAGTACTGAGAAGCACATTGGAAAAGGGAGGGGAAGCAAAAGCTAAGGGCTCTGAATGCCAGGCCAAGTAGTCTGAATGTTATTCTTAAGTCCACAGTGAAGTTTGAGCCAAAGTGTGTCTGAAAAGAACTATACCTGAAGAAGATAATCTGGCAGGACTGTGTGAAATGAACCAGTGGTGGGAAAGCATAGAAATTATGAAGGCAGGGAGACAGAAAGAGGAGAGCCCCAATTTTGGCAGTGACAATGGGGAGACAGGGAGAGGCAGAATAACCCAGGTCTCCCTCCCAACAGAGCCACCCACATCCTTCACTTAACAGCAACCTTACAATGCATTAACATAACTACCTAATTGCTCCTTTCAAAGTTAATGCTCTGAAGTGGGAAACAGTGTGTTTAATGTTTAGTCTCAACTGTGCTGCCCCAGCCCCAACTGAAAACCCCGATCTTCTTAAATATAAAATGATATTAAAAAAAAAAAAAACTTAGACACAGCCCAGACCCTCCAAGTCCCAGGTTTTGCTTTCACAGGCATAGCTTTCTTTGTGTGTTCCTAAGACTCTGGCACTTTGTTCAAGTGAGCCCCTTCTTGACGGAATTCCTGTACAGTTCCCATAAGTACTCTCTTACCTAGGCCTCCTGAGCAAAACCCAGAGGTCCTTAAGGCAGGCAGACTTGGAAAAAGGTTTACAGGCATAACTACTCCTGCCCTTTCCCATCTTTAAGCCTTTCCCCTATTTGAGCTCTCTCCTGTAGGGGAAGGGCTCATCCCTCCCTTTCCCTCCTTTTTCTTCCCCTCTCTTCCTCCTTCCCCTCTCTTCTATAATCACTGCACAAAGTGACAGTAACACAATCTTTGCACTGGCTGCCCTTTCGATGTCTACCTCACTAGCACTGTAAACCTCAGGCCATCTTCCTCAAGTAGCCCAGTGACTTCCCTGCAGCTGCATTTATCAGAAGCAGGTGTAAGTCATGGTGTCCAGGTGAAGTGGTCTCTGCTTTGTTCAGCCATCAAAACCAAACTGCCTCCTCCCTTGTCAACCCAGTCCTGTATTCTCTAATTCTACTGCCTCTGCACTAGGACTTCCCTAGCTGAATCTGATTTCCCTAACTTCCTTGATCACCCTGAACATTGATGTTTTCATATTGTCCAACAGATAACATTCCTAAAGTCTACAGGAAGCTTCTGTCCACAATGGCTTCTATTTGCATCTCCAGTTCTGCAAAACAAGTTCAAACAGCTCAGTCCTAATCTTTTCTGTCTTCTATTTCCTGCCTAGATCCTGCAGGTTTTTCAATCAGAAAAGCTCCTCAGAATCACTTACTTATAAAATAAGGACAATATTAAAGCCCTTGATATTGTTTTAAGAATTAAATGATGGAGAGAGAATTGTAGTACAGTAAACTAACCTTCAATTTGGGAGGCATACATTCCACCTCAGAATGTATGCAGTGGAGTTCCCACCTCCACTTCCAATCCAAATTTCTGTTAATGTGTGAAGCAACAAGTGATGGCCCAACTACTTGGGGTACTGACACCTAAGTGACAGACCTGGATGGAGTTTCTGGCTTCTAGCTTCAAACTAACCCACCTCTGCCTGTTGGTAGTCATTTGATTTGAAGAGTCTCTCTCTTTCTCTCTCTTTCTCCCTTCCTCATTTTGTCACTCTGCCTTTCAAAAACTAAAAATGTTTAAAAACTTGTAAGAGGGTGGTGTTGTGGCATAGTGAGTAAAGCTTCCACCTGCGATACCAGCATCCTATATTGACCTCAGTTCACATCCCAGCTGATCCATTTCTTATTTAGCTCCTTGAGTAATGGCCTGGGAGAAGCAATGGGAAGATGGCCCAAGTGATTAGGACCCTGCCACCCACCTGGAAGACTCAGATAAAATTCCTGGCTTCAGCCTGACCCAGCCCTGACTGTGTGACCACTTGGAAAGTAAACAAGCAGATGCAAGACCTCTCTCTCTGTCCCTTTAGGATTTTTCAAGCAAATCACTTTTTTAAAATTCAATAAACTTTTAAAAGTTCACAGAAAATGATTGTAAACATAGGTTTAAAAGGTAAAGCAATTAGGGGCTGGCACCATTGGCTTAGTGCATTGTGCCTCTGCCTGTGATGCCACATCCTATATGGCCACTAGTTTGAATCCCAACTGCTCTACTTTAAGTCCAGTTCCCTAATTATATGCCCGTGAAAGCAGCAGAGAATGGCCCAAGTGCTTGGGCACCAGCAGCCACGTGCAAGAACAAAAAATATCTCCAGTATCCTGGCTACAGACCGGCTCATTTCTAGTTGTCGCAACCATTTGGAGAATGAACCAATAGGTGGAAGATCTGTCTCTCAGTCATTCTGTCTTTCTCTCTCTGTAAATCTGCCTTCAAATAAAAATCAATAAATCTTCATGAAAAAAATTCAGTGAAGACCAGGTGTTTAACCTAGCACGTAAGATGTGGGACACTTGTATCCATCTCTAAACCCCTAGGTTCAAGTCCTAGGTTTTAACTTATACTTCCAGGTTCCTGCTAATGCATGCTTTGAGAGGAACAAGTGAAGACTTTAGTGTTTGTGTCCAGCCACTTACATAGTAGACCTAATTTCTGTTTCCAGTTCCTGGTTTTAGAGATGGCCCTATCATGGCTATTCAGGCATCTATGGCGTGAAGCAATGGATATCAGTGCACTTTCTCTCTCTTTGTCTCTGAAATTTTTGAAAAATATGTTAATGGGATAACATCTGTGGATCACTCAGCATATAGTAAGAGTTCAGTAAATACAGCTGCTATTAGCAGCCTAACCATGGCTATAGCAAGCCTAGATCTCAGCCCTGAGGTTGAGCTCACTGAGTATATTCTCCTGGACATCCCCCACAGGCATCAGAGTGGCACAGCATTGGCTCTAGAAAGCCAGAGGGCTAAAGGGCTAAGTATAAAACTCCAGAGACTGAACCCACCCCAATAGCCTGCCTTGTCAACCTGTGTCTGTTAGTCCTCTCCTCTATCCTGAAGACAGATATCATTTCTTGGAAGTGAGAGTCAACCGGGCATGAAAGAGTCCAGGTTGGAACCCAGGTTTGACTAGCTCCAGAGCTATTTCTCTTCTGCTGTGGACTGAACTCCCTAGTACTGGTGATGGGGAGGTGCTCCAAGAATTAGCCAGGCAACTAAGCCAGCTGCTAAAAAAGACTGAAGACTCACATAGAGCATGTGATCTGTCCATAAATGTCAACACCACCTCTGCAAAGTGGAGCTGCTTCCCCTGGTATGATCTTGTTGCCCTGAGTTCCCCTGGATTTCTCCTGGCAGAAGAACACACAGCAGGCATCCCCAGGGACTTTCATCTCTCCCTAGAGTTTGGATCAAATAGTTTACAATGCTCTTAGGTAGCACCAGCAAGCCCTGGCTAGGCTCGGACACAGTTGAAAAGAAAGTGACAGAGTGAAGAGGAAAGGGGAACGGAGAGTAGAGAAGATAGATGGTGAACACTGGTGTAGGTCTTGGGAGTGTCAACTCCCCAGGGGGAAATACTGCTCCAGTTTCCTACCTCCTGACCCCATGTTGTTGCCTCTCACCTTGGGAATCCTGGAGAGTTAAGCCCATTTTCACCTCCCAAATGCAGCACAGCCTGCAGGCCAAATGGTAGTGCAGGCATTGCCCTCCTTAAAGGTCAGTATGCCACCAAGTCCCTAGGGAGCTTATTGAGATGCACTCAGTTGCAGAGGCCCAAGGTAGGGCCTGTGGTTCTGCATCTCTAACAAGGACCCGGTGATGTTACCGTTCCTTCTGACCCACATACCGCACATTGAGCAGGGAGGGTCCAGACAACACCTGCAGCCTCTCTGAGACCTTAGGACACTTGTTTCAGCCCCATGCCTGCTGTGTTTTTCTTCATAGATGGTCAAAATGCTACATGCATGGAGCCCACAGAGCTGATGGGATGGCCCATCACACAGGTGGGGAACCCGCTCCGGTATATGTGTATCACGCACCTGGATCGCAAAGACTACGTCTTCCTGCTGCTCATCGGCTTTTGCATCTTCGCTGCGGGCACCGTGGCCGCCTGGCTCACAGGTGTGTGTGCTGTGCTATACCAGAACGCCCACCGCAAGTCAAATGAGGATGAGGCTGAGGATGAGGCCAGGAACAGGTTGGAAGTCAGCAGGCGGATTTTTCAATCGAGGGCTAACTCAGTCCATGCTGGGTACCCTCAGCTGACGTAGGTCCCAGAACCACCTTCTGACGTGCGTGCCCACAGACCCCCTGCTTTTTCTTCTTATTCCCTCCACCTAGCTACCTACTCACCCCATCACTCTGGAAGAGTCATAGAGACTGAAGCCTAATAGTAAAATAAACATACGCTGGCCATTTCACAGGTTGGTCCCTCCCTGCACCACCAGCCAAGCTCATGTCTTCAAGCTCAACAGGCTGAGATAAAACAAAGCCTAAAAATGTTGTTGGGTAGACTTAAGTGCTGAGGAAGTCCATTCCTAAACAAGTTGACTCTTGTATAACCATCAACTGTTATAAACCCAAGAAAAGTGCGCAAGGAAGGATAAGAGAACCATAAGATTGTGTTTCTCCCTGAAAAGCAAACCATTTGGGGTTCAAAGTCCAGATGACATATGTCCACAGGTCATACTTACTCTCTGTCTCACAATTATCACTAATATCTTCTAGTGCTGATACTATTTATCAGTGAAAAGTTGAGGCCTAGACTTCAGTAACCCAACTAGTAAGTAGCACAGATTCCCAAAGCCCACATTTTCTATTGTACATGAGGCTGCAAAATATTAGCAACATAAGCAAAGGTTCATCATATAAGCCTTGGACAAAGCAAAGCAATGAAGCATATAGGGATGATCACCACTTACTGAGTCCTTACCAAGTACCAGCTTAGTACCAGCTGCCCACAGATTTCCTCAGGGGGTTAGTGCTCACAATAACCAGGTCAGGCAGTCCCACTACCCTCCTGTGTCTGAGACTGAGAGAAGCAAAGTAATGACTTCAAATAGCATAATAAGAAGCAGAGAAAACAGCCGGGTCTAAATACTACCCATGCTCTCTTGCTCGAAGAGCTACACAGAGTGGCCATGGCTACCCAGGTATGGTCCAGCTCTTAGAATTGTTCAGAGGAAGGAAAGGAGACAGAAGTAGGAGCAGGCTCAGCCAAGGCCTGGAGTCCCATCACAGGCTGTGTTTTTCTCTCTGGCCAGATCAAATTACGCTCATGATTAAGGCTCAGCTCAAACTCCTACAGAAAGCTAGCTGTTCTTGAACTCACAATCAGCATGGTCTTTACCCTGAACTTCATTCCGACTTGCATACGCCTGCAGTTACCACCCTCAGGATCTCCTTCTGTCTAGTGCAAAGGTTAAAAGAGTAATTCTTCAGGAACCAAGTTCAGTGCCTACATCTGCACTTAAACCCTGTGTGTAGGCTTGGGCTTTCTGCTTCTAATGATGTTCATTAGACAACTTGCTCCAAGTTCTCTTTATTAACATAACACATTGGGTGATCTCCTGTACAATACATGGCTCACAGCATTTATTATCACATTGCTTAAGTCCCAACCCTCCAATTTCTACCTTGTTATTTTGAGTGAGGGGTGACTCTGGGCCACCTTCTTCTCATCTGTGTACCTCAGTCTCTCCATATGTAAATGGAAATCAATAGAGTGCTTATAACATATAGCATTATTATGAGAATAAAGTGGATGGCAGTCAAGAGAAGAACAATGACTCATTTTAGACTTATAGAAAAGTTACAAGATGGCACAGAAGTTTCCCTGTACACCTCATCCAGGCTCCCCTAATGTTATCTCCCATCACAATGGTACAAGTATCAGTGCAAAGATCCTCACACTGCAATAAAGTCCTGACTTCATTTGGATTTAGCAGCTTTTTCCCCCTTTTCCCTTTGCATATCCCCATCCAGGTATCATATTTGCATTTACTACTTTTAAAAATAATATTTAATAATTTATGTAACACCTGCCAGCCATTTTAGTATGCCAGATATTGGTCTAAGTACATACACAAAGTTATTTCAAAAGTTCATGGGAAACAAAATTTCAAAATAATGTGAATTTTCTATGAACTTCTCGAAGTTTCTGAGTGTGTGTGTACACGCGCATGTGCATTCATTGATTCCTACCTCCGTTTTCACACTGAATTGTCATAATAGCTCTCTGAGGTAGGCATTGTTATTGTTCCCACTACACTATGAAATCAAAGATAAGAGGTGAAGTGACTTGCTAAGCACTACCCAGCTAGTAAGGCCAAAAGCCAAACCAGCTCTGTGAGACTCCAGACTACTTCCTCCAAAGCATCAAGGAATACTACGTCTCAGGTAGTTTAACCACCAAGGAAATCTCAACGAAATAAACACAAATTGCAGCTTTTCACAACACCTTCCCCACAAAGATCTTCCTGCAAAATAGCTCATTTCACAGAAATGGACGAAACACCGGCTGTGATGAGCCCTGACATGACAGCGAAGGAGAAGAGACACAAAGCTCAGAGAGCTTCCAGTCAGGCAGTGGAGAATGCAGGTGAACAGGCAGTTTTATGACAGAATGGTTCATGCTTGGAAGGTGGGTAAACTGTTCTACGAGGGCCTGGAGGAGGGCACCTCACCCAGCAGATAGCAGTCCTAGACGGCTTCCCAGAGAGGTCACATTTAACTGTAGCTTGAAGGTTGAGTTTCCATTAGTCAGGCAAAGTGGCCCACAAGAAAACATTCTAAGCAAGAATTGCATGTATAAAGGCATGAAAGTGGGGAGTCTGGCATGCCATTGTAGTTGGAATACAGAGTCTAATCAAGAAAAGAGAAACAATGTTTAAGAAGCAAGATCAGACCCTGAAGGGCTTATCCCCATATTTTGCGTCAGTCTGGATTGTGGTAGGTTAAGCTGCAATAACAAATGAACCCAAAAACTTAATTGGCAACTCTCTCATGCAAAGTGGGCATCAACTGCCTGGACTTGGGGGCGGGGGGAAGCACATATCCCTACCACTCACTTTTGTCATGGTCCCCATATTACTGCAAGGAAATGTATATGTGTGCCAGAATAATAAACTGCATTATCGCTATCCTTTACCATACTAAGGACTTTGGACTTTTTCCTGTGGGCCCCCAAAATACTCTTGAGAGTTTTAAACATGAAAATCACATGGTTCAATTAGTGTATTAAAAGCTTGTTCTAGTTGTAAGGTTAAGAAGCAATCAGAGGGAAGCATGATGGGAAACAGAAATTTAACAATATTATAATACTGTAAGGGGGAGATGGAAGTGACAGATCAAGTCACAGGAACAAAGAGAACTGCATAAATTTCAGATATAGAGTTGACAGAAAGCCATGAGTAACTGGAGGTGATTAGAATGAATGGGGAGAAGATTAGGAGAAAGAAAAAGGAGTTCTGGGAGAAGCCCACATTTCTGATCTGGACGGTTGGATGGCTGACTGTACCAGCCACCAGGGCAGGGAGAACAGGGCAGCACACCCTATGCAGTAAAACTCCAGGTGCTGAAGGATGGGCAGAGCAGTGGGTTAAACTCAAAGCAGAAAATCAATGGACAGTGCCAAAATGAAAATCAAATGGGAGCAATAGAAGCACATTTTCAGAGATAACAAGAGAATCCATCAAATAAGTTTCAAGTGTTTGCCTCTGGGGACAAGCAGTACAAGACTGCTTTTAATACCAAGTGCTGAACGATGATTGCTCTTTAAACAAAATGTGTACATTTGATTAGAATGAGTGCATATATCTTTTAAGAACAAGCCACCTGGTCTGGTAAGTTGCTACCTTTCTCCAGGAGGTGACTTTAACCACCTTACCCTGAGACTGTCCAGCTCACAGTCCAATGAAGTACTCACACATCTGCTGCAGTTCTTCACTTACACGTAGCCCTGGGGGCTTCATGGATTTCCAAGGTCTTCTGAGTTCAGAGGTACCCTTGGACCAACAGGTCAGTCCAAGAGGCAGAGGACGATGGGGAACCAACACAGGTCCAACAGCTCCTGCCCAGCACTTCTTGCCATTCCTGACTTGGCAAATGTCTCCCACTTTATATAATGTGGTATAAAAGTATTGATTCTAGTCTCAGTTTTTCCTCTCTGTGTGACATTAAGATGCCACTTGAGAGTTTGGATCACAATTTTTCCAGCTGTAAAACTCCAGAGCCACCTTCTTAAAGCAACTACAGGGGAAGACATTTGGTGCACTGATTTAAGCAACTACTCCAGAAGATAGCTTCAAAGGGTGTGGGTTCAAGGCCAAGCTATGGCCCTCCATTCCAGCTTGCTACTAGTGCAAAGCCTGAGAAATGGCAGGTGACTAAGCTCCCAGACTGAGCCTTAGACCATCATTGAGGCATTTGGAAAGTGAATCAGTGCATGGAAGTGCATTCTTTCTCTTCTCTTCCCAAAATAACTATATTTTTATATAAAATAAAAATAATTGTAGATGATATCCAGGAAGTCTTATAAGTCAAAAAGGAAATCCAAGAATCCTAATAGAAAAATTAGCTAACAGTGTGCACAGGTAGTTTATGGAAAAAGAAACCCAAGAAAGCTTGCAAACGTATACTGTACTCACTCCACTAGAGATCAGAGAAAAACACATTCAAACAAGAGATAGCACTTTACATCTGTTAGATTGGCAAGGCAGCTGGGCTACAGAAACTGCCCTGCACCATTGAAAGGGATCTAGCAGGTATGGGCATCCACTAGCGTGGAAAACAAAGGGGCACTACTTCAGTCAGGTGCAGGGACACCTTCCCCATGGACCAGCACTTCCACTTGCTCCTGGATGCATGTCCGCAAAAGTGACCACACAGACCCCACAAGGGAATGCCTGGGAGCATGACCATTGCATTCAGTACTCCTTGTAGTGGTAGGAAGTTACCAAGGTAACTAAGTAAAAACAATGACATGTTGTGAAATGACTGAATCACCCAATCAGATGTACAGATGCAATGTGAGTTTAAAAAAAAAAAAAAAAGGAAGAGGAGGAAAAACATAAGCAGAAGCCTCTACAGTAACATCAAAGCCCTGAAGTGGCTCCTTAGTCCCTTCCCACCTGTAGGATGTCCTCCACGGGTCCAAATGCTTTGCCTTCACCCCATCTCTGCCCTCTAACTCACTGGCATTGTCCTCTCCCACTGTCTCTCTGCCCAGCCTCATCAGCCTGCCTGCTGCTGTGGAATCCCAGAGTACTGCTGCTACCACAGGGCCTTCGCACTGACTGTGCTTTTAGGATTTTAACACCTTGGGGTCCTACCTA